CACTCACCTCAGCCTCCCAAAGGCGCAGGATTACAGGCTGAGCCACCGAGCCCGACTTTTGGGTGGTTTTAAAAACACATAAGTAGTATTATATTGTAGGCATTACTTTTTTCTTTAAATAAAGGTACTATTCTCAATATGTTTTCCATATTAGTATGCATAATTCTACTTCACTTGGTTTACTGCTATTTTTCAAGATTATCAGGCTTGTCGTCTACAACCTTGATTGAGATTGTCTAGGTTGGAACTTGAGATTTCTTTTTTTTCTTAAAAAAAAACAAAACACACACACATTCAGGTGATCTTTATCTTCTGTTTTGGGAAATATTGCCATAGTTTATTTAACCATTGACATATCAGTGGACATGTAGGTTGTTTCCGTTGTTTCCATTTTTTCAAGTATAAACACAACTGTAGTACCTGTTAGTGCACACATGCTAGTTCTCTCTGTGATAGAGACTGAGAAGTAGAATTTCTGGGGTTATTCTAAGGACTTGACATTTTCAATTCTAGCGGCTACTAATTTTTCTGTTTTTAGTTTTCTTTTTTTTTTGAGTTGAAGTCTCACTCTGTTGCCCAGACTGGGGTGCACTGGCCGCTCCCAGCCACCGCGGCCTCGACCTCCTGGGCTCTGGCGATCCTTCAACCTCAGCCTTCCGAGTAGCCGGAATTACAGGCATGCGCTACCATGCCCAGCTGATTTTTTGATTTATTGTAGAGATGAGGTCTCGCTGCCCAGGCGGGTCTCGAACCCGCGGGCTCAGGCAATCCACTCACCTCAGCCTCCCAAAGGCGTGGGATTACAGGCTGAGCCACCGAGCCTGGCTCTAGTTTTCTTTTTGACATTTAATTTTTGTATCTATTTTATCTCTCTCTCTCTCTTTTTTTTTTTTTTTTTTTTTGAGTTGGAGTCTCACTGTTGCCCAGTCTGGAGTGCAATGACATGCTCACAGCCACCACAGCCTCAACCTGCTGGGCTCTGGTGATCCTTTCCCCCTCAGCCTTCCAAGTAGCTGAACCCACAGACGTGAGCCACCATGCCCAGCTAATATTTTGATTTATTGTAGAAATGAGGTCTCAACATGTTGCCCAGGCTGGTCTCGTACCCGTGGGCTCAGGCAATCCTTAGCTCTGCCTCCCAAATTGTTGGGATTACAGGCATGAGCCACCATGCCCAGCTTTTTTTTTTTTCTTTTTTAAAGACAAGGACTCACTCTGTCTCCCAGGCTGGAATGCAGTAGTTTAATCATAGCTCACTGTGACCTTGAATTTCTGGGCTCAAGCGACCCTCCTACCTCGGCCTCCTAAGTAGCTAGAACTGCAGGTATGTACCCCCATGCCAAGCTAATTTTTAAATTTTTTGTAGAGATGGTATCTCGCTATGTTGCCCAAACTGATCACAAACTCCTGCTCTCAAGCAGTCTGCCTGCCTTGGCCTCCCAAAATGCTGGGATTACAGGTGTGAGTTGCTGTGCCCAGGGTGTATACCTGTTTTATAGATGAAGAAACTGAGTCTCAGTAAGTAACTTACTTAATTTTAAGTGGATAAACCACTCTTGGAATACAGAGCTAACTTATTGTTTTGCTTCAAAAAAGAAATGTGCCGTACAGATCGCTCAGCCTGTAATCCCAGCACGAGGTGATAGGATTGCTAGAACCCGGGGGTTTGAGACCAGCCTGGGCAACTTGATGAGACCTCGTCTCTATAATAAATCACAAAAACTAGCTGGGAGTGTTGACATGCATCTGTAGTTCCAGCTACTTGGAAGGCTGAGGCAGAAGGATCGCCTAAGCCCAGCAGGTCAAGGCTGTGGTGACCATGAGCGTGCCACTGCACTCTAGCCTGGGTGACAAGAGTGAGACTCCAACTCAAATAAAAAAAAGAAAGAAAGAAACAGGAGTAGAAAGAATAAATATTCTGTTCTAGTCTCCATCTTTTTTTTTTTTTTTTTTTTTTAAGGCCAAGAGATTTAATGGGTCGAACGCAGTGGCTACAGGACCTGAGGATCAGACTGTAGCTAGTCTCCATCTTATCAATAATAGAATATGCCCCTTTGAGGACAGCTGCTTTGCAGGCTTATATCTAAGAGATTTAGTGGTAGTGTCATTTTCTGCCAAAAATGAATGTCTTTTTTCTAGAGTTTATAATTATAGGTATTTGATTTTAGCTTATTAGATGAAGCTTATAATACTATTTATATAATGTTGAAATGTAGAGAATAAGAAATATATATTACGTTTATTTTGAGAATTAATTTTTCAGTGGGAAAAGTTACTATGTGTGGTTCAGGATTTTCTAGTTATTTAAACTCAATTGATTTATATACTTATATTCTTTCTCATATATATTTCTTTTTTTTCCTTTCCTTAGATGCCCTCCACTGATGGATATTACTTTACACATGTTGAATGGATATCTTCTTGCATCTAAAGCCTACCTTAGTGCTCATTTGAAGGAAACAGCAGAGCAAGATAGACCTTCCCAGAATAATACAATAGGTTTAGTTGGACAAGCTGATGCTCCAGAAGTTACCAGAGAAGAATTGAAAAATGCACTGCTGGCTGCTCAGGTAAATTTTACTAAAGTAAAATTTAGTCAAAAAGGGCAAGGGGGCTGGGCTCGGGGGCTCAGCCTGTAATCCCAGCACCTTGGGAGGCCGAGACGAGTGGATTGCCTGAGCCCATGGGTTCGAGACCAGCCTGGACAACTTGGCAAGATCTCGTCTCTATGATAAGTAAAAAAATTAGCTGGGTGTTGTAGTGCATGCCCGTAGTTCTGGCTACTTGGAAGGCTGAGATGGAAGGATCGCCAGAGCCCAGCAAGTCAATGCTGGGATGGCTGTGAGTGTGCCACCGCACTCCAGCCTGGGCTATGAGTGAGACTCCAATTCAAAAAAAAAAAAGGGCAAGAGGTTCCCTACTAGTATAATCAGTTAAGGTGGTGCATTGAGCCGGGCTCAGTGGCTCAGCCTGTAATCCCGTGCCTTTGGGAGGCTGAGTGAGTGGATTGCCTGAGCCCGCGGGTTTGAGACCTGCCTGGGGAGCAAGACCTCATCTCTACAATAAATCAAAAAAATCAGCCGGGCATGGTAGCGCGTGCCTGTAATTCCGGCTACTCGGAAGGCTGAGGCAGAAGGATCGCCGGAGCCCAGCAGGTCGAGGCTGTGGTGGCTCGGAGCGGCCACTGCACTCCAGTCTGGGCAACCGATTGAGACTTCAACTCAAAAAAAATAAAAATAAAAATAAAAAAATAAAGATGGCACATTATACCTTCTGTGTACGTTAGTGGCATATCATGCACTCATCATGCATACAGAATCTATTATAATCCTTTGCTTCTAAGTGTCAGCTGGATTGTATTACTGAAATCAGGAGTAATCTTCATGATATGAGCCATTTAAGTAAGACATATTTTAACAAAATATAAAACTTTATTCTGAGGATACAGTTACATGTTCATTTATTCAATAAATATTTATTGAACGCCTACTATGTGCCAAGTAGTGTTTCAGGGACTGGGGATATAGTGGTAAGGAAGACAAAATTCTTGATTACTTGTTTCTTTTTTTTTTTTTTTTTTTGAGTTGGAGTCTCACTCCGTCGCCCAGACTGGAGTGCAGTGGTCGCTCCCGGCCACCGCAGCCTTGATGTGCTGGGCTCCAGCGATCCTTCCGCCTCAGCCTTCCGAGTAGCCGGAATTACAGGCACGCGCTACCACGCCCGGCTGATTTTTTTGATTTATTGTAGAGATGAGGTCTCGCTGCCCAGACGGGTCTCGAACCCGCGGGCTCAGGCAATCCACTCACCTCAGCCTCCCAAAGGCGCGGGATTACAGGCTGAGCCACCGAGCCCGGCGATTACTTGTTTCTTAAGATCAAATGGTAGGGAAAAACATCAAGTGATGGAGACAGATAAGAAACAGTACAATATAATAAAACATCAGACAGTGATAAATATTGTGACAATATAAGCAGTTCATACATATGTATATAAAACGCATATATATGTTTGTAGAGACAAGGCCTTGCTATGTTGCCTAGGCTGGTCTCAAAGTCCTGGGCCCAAGCAATCCTCTTGGCTACCTTTTTTTTTTTGAGTTGGAGTCTCACTCCGTCGCCCAGACTGGAGTGCAGTGGTCGCTCCCGGCCACCGCAGCCTTGATGTGCTGGGCTCCAGCGATCCTTCCGCCTCAGCCTTCCGAGTAGCCGGAATTACAGGCACGCGCTACCACGCCCGGCTGATTTTTTTGATTTATTGTAGAGATGAGGTCTCGCTGCCCAGACGGGTCTCGAACCCGCGGGCTCAGGCAATCCACTCACCTCAGCCTCCCAAAGGCGCGGGATTACAGGCTGAGCCACCGAGCCCGGCGATTACTTGTTTCTTAAGATCAAATGGTAGGGAAAAACATCAAGTGATGGAGACAGATAAGAAACAGTACAATATAATAAAACATCAGACAGTGATAAATATTGTGACAATATAAGCAGTTCATACATATGTATATAAAACGCATATATATGTTTGTAGAGACAAGGCCTTGCTATGTTGCCTAGGCTGGTCTCAAAGTCCTGGGCCCAAGCAATCCTCTTGGCTACCTTTTTTTTTTTGAGTTGGAGTCTCACTCCGTCGCCCAGACTGGAGTGCAGTGGTCGCTCCCGGCCACCGCAGCCTTGATGTGCTGGGCTCCAGCGATCCTTCCGCCTCAGCCTTCCGAGTAGCCGGAATTACAGGCACGCGCTACCACGCCCGGCTGATTTTTTTGATTTATTGTAGAGATGAGGTCTCGCTGCCCAGACGGGTCTCGAACCCGCGGGCTCAGGCAATCCACTCACCTCAGCCTCCCAAAGGCGCGGGATTACAGGCTGAGCCACCGAGCCCGGCGATTACTTGTTTCTTAAGATCAAATGGTAGGGAAAAACATCAAGTGATGGAGACAGATAAGAAACAGTACAATATAATAAAACATCAGACAGTGATAAATATTGTGACAATATAAGCAGTTCATACATATGTATATAAAACGCATATATATGTTTGTAGAGACAAGGCCTTGCTATGTTGCCTAGGCTGGTCTCAAAGTCCTGGGCCCAAGCAATCCTCTTGGCTACCTTTTTTTTTTTGAGTTGGAGTCTCACTCTGTCGCCCAGACTGGAGTGCAGTGGCCTCTCCCAGCTGCTGCAGCCTCGAACTGCTGGGCTCTGGTGATCCTTCCGCCTCAGCCTTCCAAGTAGATGGAACTACTACTCGCACCTGCGGGCTCAGGCAGTCCACTCACCTCAGCCTCCCAGAGCGCAGGGTTACAGGCTGAGCCACCAAGCCCAGCTTGGCTACCTTTTTATTTGGAAAAGTTTGTTAACAATGTAGAATTTTACTGAAGGCTGATGTAGTCATTTTTGAATAATGCAGGAGATAATGAGCTGATAAAAACATATATAGAGAATAAAATAAAATGTTAAGCAATTTGAGGCCTCCAAAGTAGAAATGCTTTCTTAGTTTGAAACAGATTTTCTGAAATCTTCTCATTGGAGTAAAGGGAGTTAGAAATAATAATATAGGTGCACAATTATTGTAATACAGAAGTTCAAAAAGCTGTGAAAACTGAAGAATTTCTTTTGCAATTCACTTGGCAGGAAAACTTGACCTGATGTGAACTCATTTGGTTACAAAACGATCTGAATTGTGGTCTTTATCCCACTTAATATGAATATTAGTATGCTTTATTGCAGAAATATGAATATGTTTGCTGACAAGGCGCTATCCCACTCTTGTTTGGGAGGTATGACATAATATTAAATTTAAAATTTTTAGTTCTAAAATAAATCTGTCCCTAAGAGTTTCAGATAAGGGGTTGAGGACCATAAAAGCTAACATCTACATAATGCTTAACATATGGTGGGTGCTAGTCTAAGTTCTCTAAATGAATTGACTCATTTAATTTTTATGACCAACCTATAGGTTATGGAGTATTATCATCTTCATTTTAACTGTTTAGGAAAATGAGACCCAGAGAGGTTAAGTGATTTGCTTAAGGTCACATATTTAGTAAATGGCAAAACTAGGATTCACTTCTGTGCACTCTGGGCTCTAAAGTCTGCAAAAAACCCACAAGAAAACAATAACTAAAAACTTCTCAACCCAAACACCATGATTATAAAATAGGCTAACCTTACTTTTTAATAGTGAAGTTCTTAGTCATTTAGCTCAAGTTACTGTTTTCTGTACCCCAGGCAATCAATGACTGTTTTTCATAGATGCATGTTATGTATTCTTTTTTTTTTTTTTTTTTTACTGCTTCCTGCTAGATGAACATTATTGTAGCTCTCCTTTATATATGGGGGACCTCAAATATGTCACCCCTCAAGCCTACTATTCTATGAAATGACACTCAAGCTTGTAGACTGAGCAAGAAAAAGTTGTGCAGGTGGGATGAATGATAAGGTAAAATCATTTATTGTAAAACTAGGACCTTAAACAATCTGTCTTCATGTTAAAAGGGAAAATAGCTATAGGAAGTGACTTTTAGGCATTAATTATTAACCGTCACTTTCAGAGGTGTTAATTAATTGGTAGCCAAGTGAGAAAAAAAGAGGAACTCCTGGATAGGATCCTTGGGAACATGGAAGAGTAAAAGGAAGGAAAGGAAATTCTGGTTCGAAGTCATTTTTGTCTAGGGCCTGTTTTGGATGTCACTGAGTCATATACCCTTCTAGCAGATGTTCTTAAACTGGAGTCCATGGATCTGCCTTAGAGATAAGTGATCTCGGCCGGGCATGGTGGCTCAAGCCTATAATCCCAGCACTTTGGGAAGCTGAGGTGAGAGGACTGCCTGAGCCCGCAGGTTTGAGGCCATCCTGGGCAACATGGTGAGACCTCGTCTCTACAATAAATCAAAAAAATTAGCTGGGCATGGTAGCACAAACCTGTAGTTCTGGCTACTTGGAAGGCTGAGGCGGAAGGATCGCTGGAGCCCAGTAGGTCGAGACTGAGGTGACCAGGAGCATGCCACTGCACTCCAGCCTGGGCAACAGAATGAAACTCCGACTCAAAAAGAAAAAAAAAGATATGTAATCTCCTTAAAACTATGTAATAGATAATATGTTTGTTTATATATGTTAAATTTTATGGGGAGAGGGTGTATAGTTTTCTTCAGATTCTTAAGAGGTTCGTGACCCTAAAAAGGTGAAAACTACTACTCTGTACATTCATGTGAAAACAAAATGAGATTTGGTTTTCAAACCAATTTCTCAGAAACTTGTTACATTCACTATGTTTTATTTGCTTACAGGATAGTGCAGCTGTCCAGATTCTTTTAGAGATTTGCTTACCTACTGAAGAAGAAAAGGGAAATGGTGTCAATCCAGACAGCTTGCTAAGGAACGTTCAAAGTGTTATTACTACCAGCACTCCAAATAAGGGAATGGAGGAAGGAGAAGGACATTTGCTCTGTAATCTTCGAGAAGTTCAGTGCCTTATCTGTTGTCTGTTGCATCAGATGTACATTGCAGATCCCAACATTGCTAAGCTTGTTCACTTTCAGGTCTGTTTCCAAAAAATGATGTTTTTGTGGTTGAATGTAAATTTTCTTGGGGGCTTTGAAAACTATATTAATAGGGACCATTTAGAAACTAAGTGATAGCACAAATGATCATGGTCTTTTGCAATATAGAGAAAAATCCAGATTTTTACTTTTTTCCCCCAAACTAATGAAATGTTCAGATAATTTCTCTCTATTCTAGTACATCAGAAAAGTGAAATGCCAGGATACATGTAGGCTACTGTAGCCTTCTGAGCATACAGAAAGGAAGTGAAATCTTTCATTTATATTTTAATCTGTATTTGACTTATAGTTATTTTAGTTCTAACTTTTTTTCCCTTTCTGTTGAGATAGGGTTATCCATGTGAACTTTTGCCTCTGACAGTTGCGGGTATTCCATCTATGCACATCTGTCTGGATTTCATACCTGAGCTTATTGCACAACCAGAACTTGAAAAACAGGTAATGAACATTTTGGAGCTTTAGGACAATTGATCTGTGTCTTTTTTATTAGTTGTATAAGACATTTAATAATTTTTAATATTTAAATATATTCTTAAAAAACATGTAATATTTGGATTTTGTATTGCAGATATTTGCTATCCAGTTGCTTTCTCACTTGTGTATCCAGTATGCATTACCAAAGTCACTTAGTGTGGCTCGCTTAGCTGTCAATGTCATGGGAACTTTGCTAACAGGTTTGTTGCCAATCAGTATTACCAACAAAAACATCTAACGTAAATTAGTACATTTAAAAAAATTTTTTAAAATTTTAGGTAGAGTCTTGTTATGACATCCAGGCTGCAGGGTAGTGCCGCAGTCATAGCTCACTGTAGCCTTGAATGTCTGATCTCAGGTGATCCTCCTGCCTCAGCCCTTCATGTATTTTCTGAATTTAGTGATGCAACATGTTTGTTGTTATTATGAGATAATAAGATACATTATGTGTTATTACAAGTTTAACTTATGCCATCTTTTGAATTATTCTTTTGAAAGTTTTTTTTCTGTTTACAGATGTGACTTTATAGAGAGGGTAAATTGTATATTTCATTTTGTAAATGAGTATATATAAATTTATGGTAAATATAATAAGCTTTTCATATTTTATAAATGGAAACCAAGTGTATTTTCTAAAAGTAATTATGTTAGAAGAAAATGGCTTATGATTTATTACTAATGCTCAGAGTTCCAGAAAAATATGATCATATGTGTAAATAAGAGATACATATATTAGGTGATTCCTTAAGTTCTAAAATATATCCTAAAATTTTAACCACCTTGTTTATGGAATAAAGTGGTATGAAAATAAATTACTTTAAAATATATAAACTAGTTGAGCATGGTGGCTCATGCCTGTAATCCCAGCACTTTGGGAGGTGGAGACAAGAGGATTGTCTGAGCCCAAGGGGTTGGAGACCAGCCTGGACAACTTGATGAGACCTCATCTCTACAGTAAATCAGAAAAATTAGCTGAGTGTGGTGGCACACACCTGCAGTTCCAGCTACTTGGAAGGCTGAGGCAGGAGGATCCCCTGAGCCTAGGAGGTTGAGGTTGCGGTAGCCATGAGTGTGCAACTGCACTTCAGCCTGAGGGACAGTAAGACTCTGACAAAAAGAAAAAAAGAAAAAATTAACTGGGTGTGGTGGTGTGTACCTGTAGTCCCAGCTACTTGGAAGGCTGAGGCAGAAGGATTGCCTGAGTCCTGCAGGTTGAGGCTGTGGTAGCCATGAGCGTGCTACTGCACTCCAGCCTAGGTGACAGTGAGATTTTGACTAAAAAAAATTTTTTTAAATGTGTATAAATATATATATTACATATATATATTCTTTCTCATTACAGTGTTCCCATAATATTCTGTTCCTTTTTGTCCCATTGTATTTACCTTATGTTATTATTATTTGTAGTAGTTAAACGTTTATACTGTCTGAATTTAATCCCAGCTGCACCATCAACTGGCTATGTGACTTTTAATGGGTTTCTTGCCAGGCACACTGGCTGGTGCCTGTAGTCTTCGTACTGCAGAGGCTGTGGCAGGAGGACAGCTTGAGCTCAGGAGCTCGAGGTTGCAGTGAGCTATGATCACACTACTACATTCAAGCCTGGGCAATATACCCAGACCCTGTCTCTGAAAAAAAAAAGAAAAAAAGGAAGAGTTTTCTCATATGTAAAATGAGTGATATAATAGTACTTTCCTCATTTATAATATTGTACAAATTTTATCAAATAATGCATGTAATGCATTTATCATAGAGCTTGGGCATAATAAGAATTTATATCTTGGATAATGACGGAGACTATTAGATTGTGAGCTTTCTGAGGCAGGGCTGGCTGTGTCTTAGAACAGGGGTCACCAACTGTGGGGCGGTGGCCTGTTAGGAACCAGGCCGCACAGCAGGAGGTGAGTAGTGGGCAAGCAAGGGAAGCTTCATCTGTATTTATAGCACTCCCCATAGCTCGCATTACTACCTGAGCTCAGACATCTGTCAGATCAGCAGCAGCATTAGATTTTCATAGGAGCTTTACCCTACTGTGATTTGTGCATGTGAGGGGATCTAGGTTGTGCAATCCTTATGAGAATCTAATACCCCTACTGATCTGCACAATAAATGTAATGCATTTGAATCATCCCAAACCATCTGCCCCTCCAGCCCCTGTGGGTGGAAAAATTGTCTTCCAGCAAACTGGTCCCCGATGCCAAAAAGGTTGGGGACTACTGTCTTAGAATACTTAATATCTCAGGCTAGGCATGGGGCCTCACACCTATAATCCCAAGCACTTTGGGAGGACAAGGCAGGTGGATTGCTTCAGGCCAGGAGTTTTGAGACTAGTCTGGGCCACATAACCAGACACTTTTCTACTTAAAAAAGAAAAAAGAAAACTTAGTATCTTCAGCACAAAGCATGGTAATTTAATATGTTATATAGACCATGTAGGTGGAATTTATATCTGTAAAGTACAAAATTCTGTTTTATGTTTTTTCCAACAGTTTTAACACAGGCTAAGCGGTATGCTTTTTTCATGCCAACTCTGCCAAGCTTGGTCTCTTTTTGTCGAGCATTTCCTCCTCTATATGAGGATATCATGTCTTTGCTGATCCAAATAGGGCAAGTTTGTGCTTCTGATGTTGCCACTCAGACAAGAGACATTGATCCAATTATTACACGTAAGTGGAAACTCATTTTCAAGATTAATCTTAATATCTTAAAAAGGTGAAATTCATTTCCAGATTTCTTGACTTTGATTTGTTTTTCTTTATGTTTTTAGGTCTTCAACAAATAAAGGAGAAGCCAAGTGTATGGTCTCAAATCTGTAAAGATCCATCTTATAAAAATGGATCCAGGGACATTGGAAGCATGGATCCAGATGTACAGCTCTGTCATTGTATTGAAAGCACAATAATTGAAATAATAAACATGAGTGTTAGTGGAATTTAAACAAAATTAAAAAAAAAAGAAGAAGAAGCTGTTTGCTGCATACACCCAATATGAATCTTCATCTTTTAACAACTCTAAGCTAAACGGGAACAGTGATGTTTTGGAATCATTAAAACAATTTAGTTCATTGTGAATACAATTTAGAACTCTTTGAGAATTATGCTTGCTTGTATTTGATTGGCACATCTTTGGATCTACTTTGCTGGTATTTTTATATTGTAGCAACCAAACTTTTTTTTCCCATTTGGAACACATTTAAGAAACTCATTATTGGAAAGGGAGTTTGACCTTTGTATTTTGCTTTTGAAGTGAAGAAGGACTGCCATGACTTTAATTTTTTATAAAAATGAGTCTATGGGTAGTTTATTTTAACTGTGAACTCAGAGTGACAAAGATGCAGTGGTGATAGAGAGTAAAAGAGATCAAGGGAAAGGAGAATAAGAAAAATTAGGAGGTAACAACTCAAATAGAAATCTCAAAGACTTGCAATGCAAGTAATAGTAAAGCAAGTTGGAATTCTAGTTCTCAAGAAACGGTATTTAGAAGGCTTTTAAAAAGGCAAGTAGCTTTTGTAAGTGATTTCCATGGAATTAAAGATAAGGATTTGAAGATTTCACATATTTGCTTCAATTTTTACTGTTATATGAAGCCATCTGTTTAAAGAGATACTTGATTAAGTTGGAATTTTAAGATACTGGTTTAAAAGTGTTTACAGAAATGTCTTTGTTCAAAGAAGAACCCGAAAGGAGGTCTCATTTAGATTTTTGTTACAAATTTATTTTTATAATGCTTTATTGACTTATCTAATGCTCAGAGGGGGAAATATGTATCACATTAAATGAAGTTTAGGGTAAATAAACCCACTGATTAAGAACTCTTGGTTTGTCATCAGGATATAATTCCCATCTTGAGAAGATCTTTGAGAAAATATATACAGTGCTTGAACCTCAGGAAAACTTAAAATGTGGAAAATATTGTCTGGCTGAAGGATGTTGAATCCTGTTAGCAACTTCCATTGATTAGGCAGTTGTATTCAGGAAAACTATAATCCTTATTAAAAAAAAAAAAAAGTATCCACTGTAGAAGGTACTTCTCATTGCTCTCTGAGATATACCTCAATTACACGCCTTTTCCCCCCACTTGACTCAGACCTCCTCACTTATAAAAGACAGGTGGGCGCTGGGCTCAGTGGCTCAGCCTGTAATCCCGCGCCTTTGGGAGGCTGAGGTGAGTGGATTGCCTGAGCCCGTGGGTTCAAGACCCGCCTGGGCAACTTGGTGAGACCTCATCTCTACAATAAATCAAAAAAATTAGCTGGGCATGGTAGCGCGTGCCTATAGTTCCAGCTACTTGGAAGGCTGAGGCGGAAGGATCGCTAGAGCCCAGCAGGTCGAGGCTGCGGTGACCGGGAGCGGCCACTGCACTACAGTCAGGGCGACAGTGAGACTCCAACTCAAAAAAAAAAAAAAAAGACAGGTAGGCTAATATGCAAGTATAGTTTTTAAGAAAAGTGACTTCAGCCTTTTCTCTAGCAAATAGTCACATCTCATTTTCCTCCTTTGTAAACTGGGGTTACTACTGGCCCTATCTCACAAAGGCCCTATCTCACAAATTCTGTAAGAATTCATTTGTAACTGTTTCAGATCATGAAGTACATATTAGCATATGTGACAGAATATTTATAACTTTTTATTAGATGCTTAATGTTTAAATAATTTTGATGTGAAAAATTAAAGAATATGCTAAAAATACCATAAGAATTTTCATATTTTTAAAAAACCAGTTTTGTAGTCCCTTAAGATTAAATACAACTGTTCCTGTTCTTTTTTTAAATTGAGGGCTTGGAATATTTTGTGTGAAGAGGTATGCCCTAGGAGTTCAGAAAAGAATTGTATGTTTTCTAACTAAATGCAATGCACATTCCTAGATCAATTTTCAAAGACTGGTTATAATTTGCTTTGTTAAAATAATCACATATGCTGTTTTTCATCAGATTTGTTGATAATGTAAATGTGTAAATATATTAGTAAATGTTAATATTCATGTATTTTAAGTTAAGGTTATACAATTTGTCACAATGTGATTTTTTTTATTCAAGTGAAACAGATGTGTGCAGCTATTTTGAATATTGGTTTATAAACATTCATATTCTTTATCAAATGAAATTGTAGTTTTTTGTGTTTCATTCCACTACTGTTTACCTGAAAGGAACAGAACAGTTCAAGAGACTGGATTCTAGGGCTGTCTGGCTCCAAGGCCTGGGTGAGTTCCTTACTTGTTATGCCACAAACAATAAACAGCAATACAAGGCTAGAGCCAATTAAGAGCCTTAGTAATCTAGGAGAGTAAAATGAGAGTAGGTACCCTGGAGCAGTTACATAAAAGATCTGATGTTTTAAAAAACTGTAAAAGCAAAATAACAATATGAAGGTATTTTAAAGGATTCATTTGTAAAAATTATCTTTCTTCCTATTGTCTTAGCAGTAGATTACTCCATCTTTGCTTATCCCTATATATTTTCATGGTACTGAATTTTTTTTTTTTTTTGAGTTGGAGTCTCTGTTGCCCAGACT